CCGTGAAGGCGTCATCATCGCCGCCGTCGCAGCCGTCGTCGTCGTCGGCGTCGGCGTCGGCGTCTTCGTTCTCGCAGCCGGCACCGTCGTCGTCGGCGCCGTCGTCGTCAATTTGTCGGCGGCGTTTCGTTTCCTCGGTGTTCGATTTTCGGGTGTGTTTCATTGATCTCGGGCTCTGCGAGTCCTTTTCGGGACCGTCGGAATTGTGTCCTAGGCTTTTAACAAAAGCGGATCCTGACACAAGCAGATCTTGGATGTCGAAACCTCCGGGATCGCCGTCGCCGTCGCCGTCGTCGTCGCCGCCGCCGCCACCGCTCTCGCCCCCGCCTCCAGCGCACGGCTGGCCAGCTCTCGACGAGAGGGCTGCCCAGGGCCGCGTCGCTTCGGAGAGTGCTCGGGCCGCGGCCCTGTGCGCGTGAAGGGGTACATAATTAGGAGAGGGGAATCTCGGCCTGAGGAACAGGAGGAGGTTTTCGGGACCCCAGATGGTTCTCATCAGCTGCGCCGCGACACTTCCAGGGGAAGCCAGAATCGTCCCGAACGGCCGCCTGAGGCCCGGGCTGTCGCCCGAAAGCACTCGGAGGAGGGCCAGTCGAGACAAAGAGTCCTTCTTTGGGGATCTCCTGGAGAAGCGCCTCGTCGCCACGTCCGGACCCGTCTCGAGGAACCGCGCCGAGATGGCCGCCGGACGGGGTCCGCGGGCCGACTTCCGGCGGGCGCGGGCCGGGCGAGCGAGCGAGTCGAGGGACAACAATACATGGCATGAGGAGCATCGACTGTCAGAAGTCCGCGCAGAGGTCTTGGGTCGGCACTGGGCCCCCCCTGGCGGCGCCTCCGAGGCTGCCCCCTGCCGCGTTCGCCGCGGGCCAGGGCTGGGGGGGGGGGTCCAGCGCAGATCCAAGAAATCCGCGCGGGCCTCCGCGAACGCTTGTGCTTGTGCCGGCGCTTCCTGGTATGGTCAAGGAGGACATGCCGCCAAGACGCTGCAAGAAGGAATTGCCTGGGTGCGGAAGGAGCTCGATGCTCCTTGGGTCCGTCCATGGTTGTTCCTCTAGCCCTCCTCGTGCACCCTGGCTCCTTGGGTGCCAAGAGGGGGCGTCGTTCCTTCGTTGGCGCTTCTTGTTGCATCAGCCCGACAGTGCGCCACACTCTCGGAGCAGGACGTGCCGCGCCGTCTCGAGCGGTGTGCACGGCAAGAGTCAGTCTGCACGGGGCGGTTGGCGCAGGCGGCTTTTCATAACAAGCGGCCAGAGAGGATAGTAGAGAGGGGGAGAGCATGGATGGGGCAACGGCTAAACAAGAGTAGGAGGAGGAGGAGGCGGAGGAGGAGGAGGAGGACGAGGACGAGCATTGGGGGAAGGGGGAAGGAGAGGAGGAAGAGCAGGAGGAGAAGACATGAGGAGGAGGAGGAGGAGGAGCAGCAGCAGCAGCAGTAGGAGGAGGAAGAGCCAGAGGAGGATAGGGAGGATGAGGGGTAACAGGAGGACCCGGGGGGGAGCAGGAGGAAGAGGAGGAGCGAAGACGGGTGGTGAGGAGAGAGGAGACGACTTGGAGAGGACTTGGAGGAGAGCCGGCTGGACGTAGGCCGACGACCGCGTGGCTGCCGGCTTCTCGCTGGAGGCGCTGCCCAAGCTGTGCCTCTTCAAGGCCGCCACTCGATCGTCGTGGTCGTCGTCGTTGTCGTCGGCGTCGGCGTCGGCGTCGGCGTCGGCGTCGGCGTCGTCGTCGTCGTCATCGTCGGCGGCGGCGGCGTCGTCGTGGTCGTCGTCGTCGTCGTCGTCGTCGTCGGCGTTGTCGGCGTCGTCGGCGTCGGCGTCGCCGTCGTCGTCGTCGTCGTCCCCCGTCGTCTTCGGTCCTTGTCGTCCTCCGCCGTCGTCGTCGTGTTTGTCGCCGGGGGTAGTTTTTCGTCCCGGATCCATTCCTGATTGTCAGGGGCCCGATGACGGGCCCCAGAGGCCGAAGTTGCGGAACATCGCTGGGTTTGCAGAAGCATGTCGCCGGAGATCTTGGATTGTTACCCCTGCTGGCGCCCCTGTTCCGAGTAGCTTTCGGGCCATAACTCGAGCCTCCGCCGTCCGTTCGGGATCCAGGCCCCCCCCCGAAACGCTCCTGGCGAGGCGCAGCTGCTGGAGAGCACCCCCGAGGCTGGAATGCCTCCGAGAACCAGCGAAAGCCCCACGACAACGTTCGAAAACTCATACATTGGAGGCCCATGCCAAGAAACGCCCTGCTTGCTATAGAGAGCGTGATGTTCCGACACCAACAATCACTGGACGTCCTGGGGTCTCAGGGTTGGGTTTCTTGTGGAGGGTTTCTTGTGGTCGGGCCCCACTGTAGAAGATTCTCCCAGAGCTCACATTCAAACATTCCTGGAACGATCTGGGCGAGGCGCAGGTGCTGGAAAGCACCTCGAAGCCGGAACACCTCCGAGAACCAGCGAAAATTTGGCAAAGCCTCCGAACACTTCCCGACAGGGCGCAGCTGCTAGAGAGGACCGAGGCTGGAAAACCTCCAAGGAGCAGCAGATCCCAGAGAACGTCCGAAACATCTCCCGACGATGTTCCCGAAACTCAGATGCTACTAATATATACATCCATCCATCCATCCGTCCGTCCGTCCGTCCGTCCGTACGTACGTACATACATACATGCATGCATGCATGCATACATACATCCATACATACATACATACAAATGCATCACATACATACATACATACATACATACATACATACATACATACATACAAACATAGATACATATATATATATATATATATATATATACATACATACATACATACATACATACATACACATACACATACACATACACATACACATACACATACACATACACATACACATACACATACACATACACATACACATACACATACACATACACATACACATACACATACATACATACATACATACATACATACATATTGCTCTGGCGTGCCTGGTGTTCTCTGCGAGATAGGATGAGAGGGCGCCGTTGCGACCGTCGTTGCATCAATGCTCAAGCTTTTGTGGCATCCAGATGCCTGTACTCCGCAACGGGGTTTGGCTCGTGGGTGCCGTCACTCAGCTCCTCACTGCATATTGGTGGCGGACACAGCCCTGTCCAACGTGCCCCGACTGCCCGTCGTGCCCCACCTTGCATTGTCCCAGCTGCCCGCATCTGCAGTGTCCTGCGGGGCCGAACCCCTTGCAGGCCGGCGGGATCGCCGGCGGAGGTTGGAGCTCACCACCTCCTGGGCCGCCACCTGCGGCGGAGGCTGCCGCGGCTTCTGGGTTCCCTGGCGACGCTGTTCCGGGTGAGGATCCAACATCAGTGCCGACCGAGGCTTCTCGGGAGGCAGGCGGCTGGCTGGGCGAGCTCGTGTCCCTGTGGCTCCACGCGCTGATCGCTTTGGTCCAGGCGGTGGCGATTTTGGGATACTCGTGCCTGAGGAACGTGTGCTCTTGGCGACTACCCAGCCGCCGATCTCCTGCCACCATCGACAATGGTCGCGCGGCTGGGATACGTCCGCCCCTGGGTGTGGGTGCTATTCGCCGACGAGCTGCGGTGGCATCTGCATCGGATCTGGGGGCAAGCAGAGTATCCGCCAACTGGTCCTCAGGTACGTCATCGACTGAGCAGCAGCGCGCCTGATCATGGTGCCTGCAAAGAGGACTGCAGCAGGGACAGCGCTGACATTCTGGGGTCTCGCTTCGCGGACACTCATCGTGACCGCGGAGGTCAGGATGCGGGGCTGCTATACGATATCGGGCGGCGCTTGACGGTGAAGGGGGAGACCGCAATCATAGATGGGGTGGCTCAGGTGGCCGACGAGACTTACCGGGGTTGGGAGACCGCTGGGTGCTTCGCTGCTGAGTTTCTTGTCGAAGGCACGCTGCGGGCTCACGGCGTTGGGCTGCGCGGTGTGGGGGCTGGACTGCAACTGGTCTGTGCCGACGGTGGCGTTGCTGGAGGCAGCGCTCGAGGTACGACGGCGACTGCCGCGGGAGATCGTGGAGCGGTTGCAGTCCTGAACGTGTCGGAGCGGTTCGGTGTCGACGTCGGGATCATGAGGGCCGACGAGGACTGGATCGGTATCCGACGGGCGTCGGCCTGCCTGGCGCTCTACGTAGGCGCCGAGACGGGGCTGGACGCCAGGCTCCGTGGCATCGGGCTGCAGTCAGGTGGCCATCGCACTCGGATCTGCACTCGGGACGCCGTCGCCGAGTTCGAGCATACGCCTCTTCAAAGATGGCCGTTGGCAGGCCTCCGTTCGGCAGCGAGGTGCTCCACCCCTGCCGACCGACGCTGCAGGGGCCCGCTGGAGCACTTCACGCAGTGTGAGAGTCAGCCTCATTTGCCGAGCGATGACTACTGCGGGGCCCGCTACGAGAGCATCATGGGGACGATCGCGTCCTCAGCCCGCTGGGATCAGGTTAGGCTTCGAGACCTTGTGGGCGTGGGGGAGATCATGCGACAGGCACAGCTCTACGGATACGTGTACGCGAAGGAGGCGGATGGTTCACTACACGAGGCCCTCCAGGGCCGCGGTCATGGCCACGGCTCCGCCGAGTTCGCTTTGTGGGACGAGGCCCCCGCCTTCGCCGTGGCATCGAAGGTGGATGTCAGGATGATGGTGCGTCCTGACCTTCTACGCCACATGTGCACCATAGCAGAAAGGGACGCGGGCATCCTCAAGTCGCTGCGCCATGGGCGTGAGGACTGCCGCGCCCTCTCGGGGCAATGAAAGTGACCTCGGACGGGATGCCCCTCGACCCGCCCGAGATGCAACAGAGGGCGGCTTCAGTCTCCCCGCCTGGAGTCCGTGATGTACGTGGGGGATGCTATTCTTCTCGCCGGGATGGTCGTCAGCGCGATGTCTTCCCGATTCCTCTTCGCCTTGATCCTGTCTCTTCCTCTACAGTGCTTCAGAACGCGAAGACCCTTTCTCGGACAGCTGCTCGGCGGACACATCGCCGCCACCACAGGCTCGACATGGTGAATGAGTTAGTTGTGACTCTCAATGACATGTACCTGGGTGGACGTGGACATGACGACCTTCCGCGTCGTGCCGCTGGAGAGCCGCTGCTAGCTGTCCATGCCGAGGTGCACCGAGAGCTGGAAGATGCGGTTCGCCGCTTCGGAGAGCCGCCGATGGACCTCGACGGCCCAGGAGCCCTTGCGGAGCTTCGGGTGTCTCAGGCGTACCACGGGGAGGCCGTGGCCACCGCCCCGGTTGGCTTCGACAACGTCGACCGCATCTCTCTGCCTGCTGCTACGACTTCTCCACAGACGCTAGAGCGTTTGGCTGGTGATGTGGGCCGAAAGATCGCCAATCGCTTGCAAGAATTGTTGCTACCCCGAGAACAGGGGTTGGACCGCATTCGTACTGAGGGACCACGTCGGCCATATGTTGATCCCAACCTTCGTAACCCTAAGCTGTATCAACGAGTACTTCGACGGCTGGTGGACTCTAACGTGGTGAGTTTCCAGCTGGATTGTGAGTGCTCGGTCGGGCTCTTTTTCGTTCACAAGAAAAATGGCGATCTGAGGATGATCCTAGATGGCCGCTACTCGTCACTGCGTTTCGGCGAGGCCGACAAAGTTGAGTTAGCCTCAGGCGGTGCTTTCAGTCAGATCGCCGTAGACGGGGACGACCCAATCGCAGTGGCGGGCGTAGACATCGCTGACGCTTTCTACAACATTCTGCTGCCTCCATGGTTGCAGAAATACTTCGGCCTCCCGCCCGTCAGGGCTGGAGACTTCAATCTTTCTCACGTTGGCGAGGGCATCCCCGTTCATCCTTCGCAAAAGGTGGTGCCCTGTTTCAGATGTCCGCCCATGGGCTGGAGCGTGAGTCTTTGGATCTGCCAGACCTTGAATGAGCACATCAGTTCTCTAGTCCCGGGCGTCAGTACACATAACCTCCTTGTTGATCGTAGACCAGCCCCGAGTTTGAGCGATGATTTCATTCACACTGAGTACGTTGACAACTTTGTCTCACTGTCTCGGTCCGTGGAACGCGCTGGGGACATCGCCCGGGCCGTGGGCCGCGAACTAAATCGAGTCGGGTTGCCTACGCATGAGGTCGAGGAAGGAGTAGGCGGTCAGACTTTGGGCTGGGAGTTTGGTTCGAGTGATGCTGTCATCGGGCTAAATCCTCGTTTACGGTGGAGGTTGCGTCTGGGCATCCAGGAGATCTTGAGGCAAGACCGCTGTGCTGGGGACACGCTCCGGAGGGTCATATCGCACTACACATCTCGGGGCCTCATCAGGCGGGAACTTTTGAGCGCTCTGGGTGCCGTGTACTCGTTCATCCGCGTGGCTGGTCATAGGTCTCTACGTCTTTGGGGATCCGTTCGACGAGAACTGCGGTGGTGTAAGTCCTTGTTGATCCTATGTTTCAGAAACGCGGGCAGGCCTCTCTCGAAGGTGGTCTCTTGCGTGGACGCCTCGTGGTGGGGGGTTGGAATCACCGAGAAGGATTTCTCGCATGATCAGGTCGTCGAGTTGTCGTCCTTCAACGAGCGATGGAGATTTGGGCGAGATAACGAGAAGTCGATGCCTCCCCGAGCTTTCGACATTGGCATGTGGGAAGATGAGACCGAGGAGACCGAGACGAGCACGGGGTTCACCGAGCCCTACCATGTCCAGGAGGCCTCGAAGGGCCTGATGTTCAAGGAGCCCATCAAGGTCTTCTTGAAGCCCTCAGAGGCCAAGTTCAGGAGCGTCTCGAAGGAGGTCTGGGGTGGAGTCTGGAAGCGTGTTCTCTCGAAGCCTTGGGAGCGCGAGGAACCCCAGGTCATCCTGGAGGGCAGGGCTCTGGTCAGCTGTCTAAAGCACCTGCTTCGGAACTCTGGAAACTTCAGGCACGCTCATATTATCCTGAATGACTCTATGGCCCCGTTGCTGGCTTTGCTCATGGGCCGGTCCTCCTCAGCGCCCCTTCAGCGAGTATGTCGTCAGGTCGCAGCTCTGGCGCTATGCAGTGGCTGCGGCGTCGTCTGGCGCTGGGTGCCTTCCGAGCACAACAGTGCAGACTCAGCCTCGCGGAACCGGCCTGGCCTTACAGCTGAAGCTGATCGAGCGGCCGCTGGGGATGCCAGGCGCAGTAGCCCTTGCTCAGGGGACGGGCGGCTTGCCAAGGGGTCGGGGAGGACCAAGAACCAGCGCGGCCGCGACTTCGTCTCGCCGCCGCCGGGCCTCAGCCTCTACGACGAGTCATGTTGTCCGAGCTCGCATGGAGGGGGGCCGCCGAGCTGCAAGGCGCCTGCCGCGCCCCCAGGGCTGCCGCCGGGAGATCGCTCCGAGGCCCAGAGAGAGCCACTCGGTTCTGGAGCAGGAGTCGGTGCCCGCCGCCACTTGCCAGGACTACGAGAGGCGAGCCCACTACGTCTACCTCGGGGTCGAGCACTCTCGCCTGGAGACGGTGGCCGAGGAGCAACTGCACAAGGCCCTGGTGACGTACTTCCGCGAGCGGTTCTTGGAGGGGGGCGAGAGCATGAACGCGAGGAAGCTCCTCGCGTTGCTGGCCTTCGCGGGGTGCCACCTGGGCCTGAAGTACAGCAGCCTGCGGTGTGCGACCCGAACTGCTCGGGGGGGGCGCAAGCGGTCTCCGCCTCGGTCGCTGCTTCGGCTGCCGTGGGCCGCCGGCTGCCTTGTCATTCGCCAGATAGCTCAGGCCAGGAATCGAGTACTGGCACACCTCACGGCCGTGGCCCTTGCCCTGTACCTGATGCCGTCGGAGGCGATCTCTCCTACCTCCCACGGCTTGGCGCCGCCGTCAGTGCTGCTCAAAGGCCCGCGCAGGACCTGGAGCATGACGCTTCGCTGGAAGGTAGGCGGGGTGGCAGGCCAGACTGGGGTGTACGACGAGTCGCTGGTGTTAGACAGCCCTGCCTTCCTCTGGCGCGAGGAAACGCGCCGCAAGTTGCTGGTTCGCGCCCCCACCCCAGACGAAGTAACAGAGAGAAATCGGTGGCCTACAGATCAGGTCGTGAGGCGGGACACCGAGGCTGGACGGATCCGAGAACAGTTGGACATGCTCCCTCACCATTTTCGGAGCACCGCCAAGCACAGCCTCGATACAATTGGCGTCGTCCCTTGCGCGACCTAGCTCGATGTGTGAACGAGTCTGGACAGCAAGTGATGCTGGAAGTCTTCAGTGGAAGCGGCAACCTCTCTCGATCGTTTCGGCTAGTCCTGAGGGGTCTCCCCTGCTTCGAGCTGGACATTATCCATGATGCTGCTGCCGATGTCTTGTCCAGAAAAATTCAGAAGCTGGTCAGGGGCTGGGTACGAAGCAAAATGCTCTTGGGTGTGTGGATAGCTACTCCATGTCAGTCACTATCTCGTGCACGTAATCGGCCTAATGGACCTCCGCCGCTTCGTGACGCTGAGCACCCCCTTGGACTCCCTCACCTGAATCCCGCCGACTGTCTGAAGGTTGCCCGTGGTAACCGCTTAGCCCGTTTCAGCTTTGGCCTCTTTTCCTTTTGCAGATCTCTTAAGGTCCCTGTGGTTATCGAGAATCCTTCGACCTCTTGGCTTTGGACTCTCCCTGGGGCCAGAGCGCTCGCCCGTTCCAGTAACGTGCTCGATTTAGATGTTGATTTTTGCGCTTTCGGGACCCCGTGGCGTAAGCGAACCCGCCTTCGGTTTTGTCATCTCGACCTTGCTGGGCTCAAAGGGGCCCATTGCCAAGGTCGCGGCGTTTGCAGTTTTTCCAAGTGCCCGCACCGGGTGCTTGAAGGAAAAGACAATACTGGGCGATTTCTCACCCACATCGCCGAGCCGTATCCCAGAGGGTTTTGCTTGGCGCTTGGTAGAGCATACAAACAAGCGTTGCGGAATAAAGCTTTCAGTGCTTTAACTAGATATGTGGCCTAAGGGCCAGTGTGAGAGTTTCGCAAAGTTTCAGTGTTTGCTTTCTGGTTCGGAGTTGTGATTGCCTCGCGGGAACTACCTCTGCGAGGCTGAGGCATCTAGATGCGAGCGGCTCTGGGCCGCAATCACACAGATTGACAGCATGGTCGGTCTGGAGCAAAAGTAGTGCTGTAAATCTATAGGGCTGGCGCCCAGGAATCCGCCAAGCATAGATTGCTCTGGCGTGCCTGGTGTTCTCTGCGAGATAGGATGAGAGGGCGCCGTTGCGACCGTCGTTGCATCAATGCTCAAGCTTCCCTCCCTCGGTCCCCTTTTGTCCCACCCTGCTGTTAGAGCCTTTCTACACTTGCAGTGGAGTTGTGATTGCCTCGCGGGAACTACCTCTGCGAGGCTGAGGCATCTAGATGCGAGCGGCTCTGGGCCGCAATCACACAGATTGACAGCATGGTCGGTCTGGAGCAAAAGTAGTGCTATAAATCTATAGGGCTGGCGCCCAGGAATCCGCCAAGCATAGACATACATACATACATGCATACATGCATACATACAGGAGGAGGAGGAGGAGGAGGAGGAGGAGGAGGAGGAGGAGGAGGAGAGAGCACCAGGAGGAGGAGGACGAGCAAGACGAGGAGGACGAGAACGAGGAGGATACAGGACATAGGAGGAGGAGGAGGAGGAGGAGCAGGAGAAAGAGGAGGAGGAGGAGGAGGATACAGGCTGAGGCTGAGGCTGTGACTGCGACTGCCGTTGCCGCTGCGACTGTCATCGCGAATGCGACTACGACTGCGAGAACAGCAGAATTCGACAACTGGAGGCACATCTGAATGGAGAGGGGAATGCTTTCAGATATGCTTCTACACATCGCTGTTAGGTTGCTTTGCCGGGATTTTTTTTTTTTTTTTTTTTTTTTTGATATTTCGCCTGAAGTACATCAAGCCTTGGGCCGTCTCGCATCGGTGCCAGTACCGTGTAGTCATGGGCTAATCGCTTCGCTCCCTCCGCTGGCACATATTGGGTCACTCGTTATGTGCTTGTGTGCTCGTGGCGAGCGAGGAGGAGGAGGAGGAGGAGGAGGAGGAGGAGGAGGAGGAGGAGGAGGAGGAGGAGGAGGAGGCCCCAGCTGCATCTTGGGGAGGCTTCTTGGGGTCTCTTGGGAGGCCTCTCCGCAGCCTCTTGGCGGTATTAGTGGGACCACCTGGGGCCTCTTGGGGGCCTCATTGGGCCTCTTGGGGGGGTCTTTTGCGCTTCCAGGAGTCTCTTGGGTACCTCCTGTGGGCCTGCTGGCGGTCTCGGAGGCCATCTGTCGGGGAAGGGTTCCGCATGTCAGTTCGGATTCTCCCTCTTGGGACCCTCTTGGGAGCCTCTGGAGCCCTCTTGGGAGGCCTACTGGGCCGTCTCGTGACCGTCCTGGGGGCGTCTCGGCTTGAACTGTGTCAATCTGGGGGGCTGCGTGGGCCGTTTTGGACAGTCGGATGACGGACAAGTGGTAACGCGGAAATGTTGAGAAAAACCCATGCACAATGCATGCATTCTGGCCTGTTGGAGGCCTATTGGAGTTGTATCGGACCACTTGGAGGCCATCTTGAATGCTTTTGATGGTGTATGGAGGCCACTGTGGAACCTGCCGTCCATGGATCCTGCCTCTTCGGGCTCCCCGGAGAGGTCCCTCGGAGTGCTCTGGGGGCGACCTTGGGGTCCCTGAAGACCGCTCCCAGGAATTCTGGCATCCGTGAGTACCACCGCTCGAGGTCCACCCGGGGTCCGCCCGGCTGAGACCCCCAGTGGCCGCCACGCGCGCGCGAAGTTTGACAATCAAATCCTGTTACCGCCGATTTTAGCACGCCTCTGGCAAGTTGGGCCGGAGAATTTCCTATTCGAATCAGTCATGGACCGCCAGGCTTGGCCCTGGCTGGTCCAATATGTTCTTCTCCATACGTAGTGGCATCACTACCTTGCCCTGAGGTTGTAATCTTGCAATCTTGCCGTGCAATGCCGTCTTGCAACTTGCACTCTGCGTCTGGTCTTGCAATAGTGACGTTGCCTTGCACTGCGTGGTCCTCAGACGGTGATCGTTGACGTTGTCATCATGTCCTCTTCGGTACTGATGTTTTTACCTAACAGCGAAGACTGATAGGTTTCTAGTGGGATCAAAAGAGAGCAGCAGATCACTCCACAGGGGGGTCCGGGCAGGTGTTGGGAGTTGCCGGGCGGCAGGTGCCGGGCTCGTTTTTCACCAACAGTCACACACTTCGTGCTCTTCGCCTTCCCAGAACTCCATTCCCAGGCCACATTCTGAATACCCGGATGCAACAGTCACACACAAAGTGCTCTTCGAGATCCAGAACGCCATTCCCGGGCCACATTCTGAATAACCGGATGCAACAGTCACACACTTCGTGCTCATCGACATCCCAGAACGCCATTCCCGGGCCACATTTAGAATAACCGGATGCAACAGTCACACACTTCGTGCTCTTCGAGTTCCCAGAATTCCATTCCCGGGCCACATTTTGGATGCCCGGAGCCAACTGTAGGCCACTTCGTGCTCTTCGAGTTCCCAGAACTCCATTCCCGGGCCACATTTTGAATGCCCGGAGCCAACTGTAGGCCACTTCGTGCTCTTCGAGTTCCCAGAACTCCATTCCCGGGCCACATTTTGAATGCCCGTAGCCAACTGTAGGCAACTTCGTGCTCTTCGACTTCCCAGAACTCCCATTCCTGGGCCACATTTTCCGCAGGGGCAAGAGCACGACGAGGAGGAGGACGAGCAAGACCAGGAGGACGAGGACGAGCAGGAGCAGGACGAGGAGCAGGAGGAGCAGGAGAAGAAGGACGAGCAGGAGGAGGAGGAGGACGAGCAGGAGGAGGAGGACGACCAGGAGGAGGAGGACGACAGGAAGAGGAGGAGAGGAGGTGAGGGGAGGAGGAGGAGGAGGAGGAGGAGGGAGGAGGAGGAGGAGGAGGAGGAGGGAAAAGGAGGAGGAGGAGGACGAGGACGAGGAGGAGGAGGAGGAGGAGGGGGGGGAGAGTACCAGGAGGAGGAGAACGAGGACCACCAGGAGGGAGGAGGAGGAGGAGGAGGAGGGAGGAGGAGGAGGAGGAGGAGGAGGAGGAGGAGGAGGAGGAGGAGGAGGAGAGAACACCAGGAGGAGGAGGACGAGCAAGACGAGGAGGACGAGAACGAGGACGACCAGGAAGAGGAGGAGGAGGAGGAGGAGGAGGAGGGAGGAGGACTACCAGGAGGAGGAGGAGGAGGAGGAGGAGGAGGAGGAGGAGAGGAGGAGGAGGAGGAGGAGAGGAGGAGGAGGACGAGGAGGAGGAGGAGGAGGGGGGGGGGAGAGCACCAGGAGGAGGAGAACGAGGACCACCAGGAGGAGGAGGAGGAGGAGGAGGAGGAGGAGGAGGAGGAGGAGAGAGCACCAGGAGGAGGAGGACGAGCAAGACGAGGAGGACGAGAACGAGGACGAGCAGGAGGAAGAGGAGGAGGAGGAGGAGGAGGAGGAGCAGGAGAAAGAGGAGGAGGAGGAGGAGGAGGAGGAGGAGGAGGAGGCAGGCTGAGGCTGAGGCTGTGACTGCGACTGCCGTTGCCGCTGCGACTGTCATCGCGAATGCGACTACGACTGCGAGAACAGCAGAATTCGACAACTGGATTTTCATCTGAATCTTAAGGGGAATGCTTTCAGATATGCTTCTACACATCGCGGAGGGCCGGATGCAACAGTCACACACTTCGTGCTCTTCGAGTTCCCAGAACTCCATTCCTGGGCCACATTTTGGATGCCCGGAGCCAACTCTAGTCCACTTCCTGGTCTTCGAGTTCCCAGAACTCCATTCCCGGGCCACATTTTGAATAGCCAGACGCTTCATAATCCTTCCGCCACAGCCGTGTTTGGTTCAGGACTTGCTAGTGACACTGCAGTCCACTGCATTCAATCGTGCCACTGCATTCATTCACTGCAGTCCACTGAGTTTCGATTGCAATGGCGTTCCCCTGGCCGTACCCCCATGTCCAACGTTCATCCGCAGCCTCTGCTCCGCGAGGCTCGTCCGAAGTGTCGCCGCCTCGCGGTGCTTCTCAGCCTGCGCCGCCTCGCGGTGCTTCTCAGCCTGCGGAGGAAGGTGGACAGA